AGGTAGACAGATACCACAGTGATAAGCAGAGCACACAAATTAGGATACAACAGATTTCTGATATATAGCAGGTTTTTAAGGCTGGAAAAACCTTATACAGTTATACCCATGCACATTTGAAAAATGAGTAAATACTAATACTTCTGGCAATTATGTGAATAGTAAATTGTACTGCTCCCTACAGGAGCCAGACAGGGCATGTGAAAACTGCATGACAAAGTACAGTCAGGTTTTTCTGTATTATATTAGCTCAATTGCTTCTTCAATTTCACTAAGTATTCTTGAATGAAAAATCTTCTGCCCTCTTCTAATATAGTCAATTTTCCTTCTTCCACATTAGTGTTTCAAACTTCCATCAAATCTTTCCTGTCTGAAGAAGGAAATTTAGTGAGACAACATTTTGACATCTTAAATTAATGTTAGGCCATAATTTCTCACCTTTTCCGATCATATCCAAATATTTCACGAATATGTTTTGAAATTTCTTCCTGGGAGTCCCCTTCATCTTCAATGAAATCATCCATTTCAGAATCAGAGTCATCTTCTTCATCACATATTTGCCTTTTATAACTTATTGGTGGAAGAGAAGGCCTTGGAAGACCTAAACAAGAATAAATATATGTACAACTTTAATTCATTTGTCACAAAAATGCTCCTAACTATTAAAAGGACTAACTCTTGTATTTTTGTTTCTCCCATTATGTTATCTTCTATTTTACATATTGAATGATTACAGCAGCCCGCTCTATGCAAGAGATGTTGTGCTTTGGGTACAGCTGTTTTCAATTCTGGGCCTCAGTAACTTGAAAACTTTTAATAATAAAGTATTTGGACAGTTTGGGAGTATCAGAAAGAGGAGACAGCATTTCTAAGCCAGTTGTAAAACGTAAGTTTTCCACTGATATTGCCAACTGCAACCTGGATGAGACACCAAAAGGTAATCTAAGTTTACATTCCTGTTCAATTTATGGATTTTCTAATATATTAATTTGCAATAATTCTATCCCCTTTACTTTAAGATCATTTTAAAAATTTACTTCCCAGTTCCAACTTAAGTGAATCTGCCCAAAATTAATCAATCTGTTGCAGGGCCTAATTCTTATGCAATGCTTTAAGAATCTTGATTATAAAAGGTACAATTTTAAATTTTAATTGTTAACAGGGATCCAGGTTTTCCATTTCCCACAGAAAAACAGAAACAAATTCGGATTTTCCCTTTTAACCGAGAAAAACAAACTTTTCATTTTAACGAAGAAACGTGCAAATTTTCCCCTTTTGCAAAGAGCTTTCTGCAGGTGGCAGAGTTCCAGCCTACAAGGGGCTGGGGGGAATGGGAGGAAAGTGGTCAGGCAAGGGGCAATCTGCATGTGCACATGTGTACACGCACACGGTCACCAGGCAGCCTGGAGAGCAGCTCCTTGCAGGCAAATCTGGTAGGGGGGATTGAGGCCCCCATAGGGAAGGATGGAGTTGGGCAGGGCCAGGGCTGCTGACCAGCTGGGGCAGTAAGAGGGGCTTGGGGCTCAGGGCCAGGGACTGCTCCCCACCACTGCACTCACTCCTGGGTAGGGCAAGGGGGAGGCAAGTGACCCCCAGATTTGTATGTAGGGCAGGGGCAGGCTGCCCACTGTGGGCTCAGGCACCCTGCCCTGCTGCCCACCCCTGGGGGCCTCTGCAGCCCAGCAGGTGGAAGGAACCCTGTGCAGCAGGGAAGCTGCTTTCTGCTACAAGCCCTGCATCACCATGGTGAAGCACTTCCTGCCTGCCTGGAAGCAGCAGGGGCAGTGGCACAGAGTTGAAGCCCTCACTGCTAGGCAGGCAGGAGGCACCTCATCATGGTGGCACGGGGCTTGAAGTGGCATCAAGCTTCCCCACCTGGCCCTGATCTGCTCTGCCGTGCCAGGTCCCACCTGCTGGGCCACGGAGGCCCTGGAGGGAGGGCAGCTTTGAGTCCACACCCTCCATGGGCTCGGCTCTGGCCATGCTGCCCATGGGGGAGGGAGAGCTGGCCTCCACATTCTGCTCCACCCCAGCAGTTGCTGTCTCCTGCAGGCAGCAGCCAGGACTCAGATGCTACTGCAGGGGGCTGTGGACCTGGGTCCCTGGCCCTGGAAGCTGGGAAGCCCCTCCAGCAGGGCTGGGGGCTGTGGATAGGGAGTAAGAGGTACCAGTAGGGGTGCGGGGCTGTGGAATGGGAGTGAGGGGTATGGACCTGTATCCTAGTGAGTGAAAGGGGTAGGTGGAGCTCTGGTGTTCCATGATAAAAAAACCCAAAATCAAATATAAAAATTTATAGGTACTTAGAATTTATTTTATTATAGTGATTGAGGTACTGGTAGGCTTCCAAGCTGCTTTAAAATTGTAAATACATCAATAAAACATTGTGTTCAGTTGATACCTATATATATATAGAGAGAGAGAGAGAGAGAGAGAGAGAGAGATGGATATCTCAGTGTTTCATTTTAATCATGGATTTTGAGGTTTTAAATCAGAGAATCTGTGATTTTTAAACAGAGAAGAGTAGGATCCCTGATTTTTAAGCATAATCTGACACCTTATATTAAGAAACTTCATTTGTCTTATTAGATTGAGTGCACCACCCACATGCACATCCACATCCACAATCAGGCAATATTTTATTGCTACCTGAAAATGCCTCCTTGCACTGATTCACAGTCTCACATTGTAGACGAGAGCTCACTATCTGAGACACTTCATTTCTTGAGCATGGATATTGGGTGAAAAAGCATACAAATGGCAGCAAGGTGCAAGGGAAGAAAGAGCAGCCATTTTACAATCTAACTTTCTATTTAGATAGTTACTATGGTAAAATCAGGCACATGTAGACAACTCCACCTATGGTTGCTGAAACCTCTCAACCCTAAGAGATTTATATTAAGGAGAAGTATGAAACAAGAGATACAGGTAAACTCATTTGTAACACCACAGCATTGGCAGAACATGGCATACCTTGTGGAGGAAATCCTGGTGGTCTGTGCCCTGGGGGAGGTCTCATTCCATTCAGCTGTCCGTTGCTTGGTCTTGTGATTAGATTTTTAGATGAAATTGTTTCTGATACAACAGTACACTTCAGTTTCGAAGTGATGCCTGAGCTGCTGCCTGGTCGCCCAGGTCCCACACTTGAACCACTGCCTGGCCTTCCTGGTCCGGTGCCCAGGCCACTGCCTGGTCGCCCATGTCCCATGCTTGAACCACTAGGCCTTCCAGACATTGCGCCTGAACTAATGCCTGGTCGCCCAGGTCCTGTGCTTGAACTGACACCTGGTTTTCCAAGTCCTACAGCCGAGCCACTGCCCGGTCTCCCAGGTCCTGTGCTTGAACTGACACCTGGCTTTCCAAGTCCTGTGCTTGAGCTGCTGCCTGGCCTTCCAGGTCCCATGCCAGCACTGCCACCAGACCGCCCAAGTCCCATGCTCAAACTGCTGCTTGGATGGATGGGGACTGAACTACCACCTGATCGTGCAGGTCCCATACCTGAGCTACTGCTCGGACGCCCAGTTCCTCCAGATCCTGAACTGCTGCCTGGCCGCTTTGCACTAGAGCTGGCTTCATGCTGAGAAGGTGCTGCAACTCCTTGTTTTGTATGGGCAGAAGCAGATTTTTTCACACTAGGCTCTTTAGCTGGCAGCAGTTTCTGAGTCCCATTGGCAGTTGCTTTTGAGATGAATGCATGAGAGCTTGACCCAGATTTCCCTATTCCATTGACTGGAGGTTTACTATGGCTAAAACTAGATGAGCTTTTCAAAGATCCGTTTTGTGCAGGTTTTGTTTTTTCCACTTGACTGTATTTAGAAGATGACGACGGCCTGGAGTGCTTTTCAGTAAATGCTGGTGCTCTGGATTTTTTATCTGAACAACTTATGGAAGAAAAACTGCCTTTTGAAGAGGAATGTTTATCTGCTGAAGCTTTGCTAAGTTTTGCATTCACAAGCTCTTTCTGAGAGCACACTTTTTTTGAAGAACCTGAAGCTGCTATATTCTTGATCTCTTTTTCAGGTTTCTTTTTTTCTTTCTGCATTTCCCCTTTTTTGTTTTTGCGTTCCAAAAATTCCCTTTCTCGCAATTCCTCTGCTGTCCTGGGCCGTTCTTCAATCTTTTTCACTACTTTTATTTCCACTGGTTCGTACTGTTTTTTCTCAGCCAGCCTGAGAAGATCAGTGAAGTTCATCGGGGCCACTGCACTTTTGGGAGGGGCCTTTGGTTTCGCTGTAGCTTTGGATGGTTTCTCTTCATATTCCTCAGGTTCATGCTCAGATTCAGTTTGACTGTATTCAAACTGCTCAGTTTCATCTCCTGTGGTATATTCTGCATCCGTCCCTCGGCTGACGTTTTCAGAAGTCCGCCTCTTTCTAGGCTTCTCCTCAATTGGGATGCCATTATAACCATAAAAGTTGTCCTTTGTTCGTGAAGCCATTGCTCTTGCTTTTCTGTCATGTTTCAATTCAACCCGTTTAGCTAAGAGTTCTTCTTTCCTTTTTTTTTCCTCTCGTTCTGGAAAAAAGAAAAAAAAAATCAAAGGAGTTTTCCCACGATCACTTCTGAATTTTTGAGTTGATAAATTGTAGGGGAGATGAATGTTATAGAGAACATGACCAAAGTTCAGTCAACAGTCAACATACATGATGGCCTGAAAAATCTAGGGCCAAAAGATTTAAAATCAGATTGGAATAAGTCACCACGTTTAATCTGCATGAGCATAAGACTGATGTTATAGCCACGATGATCCAGAAATTATGTGAGGCAACAATTTCTTAGGGTGTTACCTTGTATTTGACCAACTATGTAGCAGGGACAGATGGACAAGCTTTTGAAAGCAAGACATTCTTCCCTCAGGGAAAGGGGATGAGATCTAAAGAATAATGTCTGTTTAACCTTATCCTAACTATACAGTCAGTCCAATAAAAGATATCAGCCTAACAAATCCTTGCCTCTCAATTTTTTAAAGGCACAATTTTCTAAAGATGGTTGACCTGACCACCTGTCGTTTTCAGACTCGTAGTACAGTTTGTTCAACATTAAAACAGTTATCAAAACATCAGAATGGCTCCTTGTGATCTCTTCTGGTGAAAACTACTTAATACTAGACACTTTCCAAGCTGTGATGGTGAATACGTAAGTAAAGCTGTGTAAATATTTGGATTCAAAAACAGGCCATCTGCCACCCTGATGATTACTGCTCTTCAGTCAGCTCTGACTCAGCACCAGTTGTGTATGGATATCCCAAAGAAGGGAGATACACATGCTAATGTTATATATATTGGGAGCCTGAATACAGGGAAAATGTCACAAATAGTCAGTGAAAAAGTTTGCCTCCAACTGGGAACACATGAAACAACTTTAACAGGTACCTTTTTTCTTCTTTTCTTCTTCTTTCCGTCTGAGAAAAGCTTGTACTGCTGCAGACTCAACACCCCTGACTTTTGGAACCTTTTTAGGGGGGCCTACTGCCAAACTGTATCTTTTCTGCAAAGAGAAAAAAAATGTCCTAAGGAAAGTAAGGGCTTTGACTTGAATAGACGATTTTTACTAATTGGAAAAACCATAATGAATGGGAAATGTAATAATAATGCTTATTGGGCTTTAAATATACGAATGCTGAACAACGGCAAATAGTATAGCAATGAACATCAGTGGGAGCTGAGAGCTCCTGGCACCAAACAGGATCATAACCTATGTGTAGAAGCCACTCTGGGCATAAAGAGCACAGGGAACCAGAAAAGAAAAAAAGGGAACACAAGAGATGGCTGCAGAAAACTTAGATGAACAAAGAAGGGGAAATGATTCAGAGACGGGGATGAGATTGCAAAGAAGTTTAAAAGAAACACCAGCGGTCTTACAGAAACACCCAAAATAGACCCATATAAAATCCACACTCCTAGTCTAAGTAGTGGATAGGATAACCATACGCCACACAGTTAGGCAATTCCTTTTTCCATAACAAAATAGTTTACAGGCTCTCAAGTCTTGCCTGAATAAAAATGAACCTAAAGTAACTTAAACGTACTTTCATTAGTTATTCTGAATGCAGATTTGTATATGGATACTCATTTAATGTTAAGATTACTTCATCTGTTAAAAAACACCTAAACAATCCAAATTACAAAATAAGATATTCTTAATCCAAAAATCAGTGCCCACAGATTTGCATCATCATAACTAATGTTCTGAAACAAAACATATATTGTTCTTTAGTTTTCACTTGATAAAGACTGTCACTAGCAGGCTGAGTTTTCAAGTAGTGAGTGGTAGTTAAACAACAAGGAAGGAAGTGAGGAATCTTGAATTCTCTTCCCACAAATACAAAAAAGCCACTTTTAAAAAGTTAGAGAAGGAAACAGAGATCATCAGAATGTCACAGGAGGCAGAAGGGTAGCACTTGTCTTTGATGAAGCAACATTATCAGACACTTAAATTTAAGAAATTTTCCTGGCTAGCATCTAGCAGGGCTGTGTGAAACAGCACCATTTTGCCATTTCGAAGGGACAGTGTTTCATTTCATCATTTTGTTTAGTTTCAAAGCACTGTTCCGTTTCATTTAGTCAAAGCTGTTTTGACGTGTTTCGCTGTTTCACCCATAAGCTATAATGGGGAATCATGAAAATGCCTGTAACTGTCATTTTTGGCCCAATTTGGATGAAAATTGCAGCGATGGTAGCCCCTTCTGAGGGCATGAAGCCTGCCAAGTTTCAAGGAGACAGGTGCATGGGTTTCTGGGAAACTATACCTCAAACTGCTGAAAAGCAAAATTCATATCATTTACCAGCAGCAGCAGCAGCCTGCTGTCATCCTGCACACAGATCTGGGGGCCTGCACCCCCCTGGGAGGGCTGTGGGGCTTTGCCAGACTCCTCCCGGGGGCATGGGCCCCTGGATCTGCACACAGGATGACTGCATGCTGCCACTGCTGGCTGAGGCCAGTGGCAGCACCAGGCTTCCTGGTGCTCGGCATGGGTTGCACCCAGTGCCAGTCACAGCTGGCAGTCACAGCATGCTGTCACCCTGCATGCAGATGTAGGGCCCACACTGCAGCAAGCCCAGCTTCGAACCTCAAAACATTTCAAAAGTTTTGAAATGTTTTGAGCCCCCTTGTTTCATTTCAAAGCTGTTTTGAAGCCTTTTTTTTTGTTTCGATCTTGCTGTTTCAAGCTTGAAACACATTGAAGCAGCTTTGAAATGAACTCCCTGGCAACATTTTACACAAACCCAGTATCTACATAATTAAAAAAACCCAACCAAACAAAAAACCCTTTAACCAAATATTTGAGAGGCAGGAAAACTGGCCAAACATTTTAAATTGGTTTGATTACAGCCTGCTAAGTTTTAGCTTCCACTTCTGATTTATTAAGACAGTAGCACAAGAATACAGACAGTCTGGGCACTTCATATAAAAATATGAATGTATGTTAAAATAAATGTGTATTTGCTAAGATTCAAGGTTCAGAAGTTCACTTTTAATAACTGGTAGTTAAAAAAGCAGTCAAGCTCTTTCAGGAATAGCAACTGTAAGACTCCTGTAGCATCTGTTTAAAAGTCTCCTTTTAGTGATTTCTGAAATGACTCAAGGGAAAAAAACTTCAAAAACCCTACTCAATCCAACCATACTTCACTAACAAAACTTGACATGCAGCATCATTACATTAAAAAGCTTCTATAACACAAGTGCACTTACTGATGGACATCTCTACGCATAAAATGTTTCTTTACAACTAAGGCTCAACAACCCTTCCTTGAACAATTCTTACTCTCCAAAATTTTACTGCACTTACATCTTAAATAGGTGGAACTAATCATTCAAGTACTATTTAAAAGGAGTAAGGTATCTTTTAAAGTGGTTGGGGTCTTCTTTATTACAAAGACAGGTATTTTTAATATGCTATGGATTTGAATCTAAGATGAACGCTTCCCCCCCAGGAAAAAAAACCCTCATCTTGGATTCAAGTAAAAGGCAGAGGAGGGGGCAGGTGGCTGCTGCAGGTCTGACTCTGGCTGGGTCAGTGCCAGAGTCAGGCCCACAGCAGCTGCCTGCTCCCCTTTCATCTGTCCCCAACCACTTGTGTTCTGTAGCTCTCCTGCTTAATGTCAGGCATGGCTCTGGCTACATTCCCTCCCGCCTGGGTACAAAGAGCATGCAAACTCTTGTCCCTGCCCAGCCACACCATAGCATCCCAGGGAAAGAGATGCTACTGCCACGTGCTTGGAGCTTGCATGTGCTCTGTGCCCAGAAAGAAATGGAGCCAGAGCCACACCTGACAGTAAGAAACAAGGGAGGAGGGGAGAACAGGTAGGTCACAGAGGCTGCAGGGGGGAAACAATACAGGGAAGAAGCAGAGAGGAAAAGTGGTGGGGCAACAAGTAGTGGGAGCTACCTGTCCCAATTCTGCTGCTTTCCCCACTGTGGGAGTGGAGGAGACAAATTTAAGATGACCCTCTGATAATTAGATTCCAAACATGGAAAACTATAACAAATTTATACACTCTTTGCATACACAGAACCTAATTATTGGGGGATCATCATAAATTTGGTTCTTTTGGATTCAGGTAAATACAATGGGTCAAAATTGCATGTTTGAAAAATAATGTGTCCCAGGGAACCCCTCTAAAACTGGGTCCCGGACTGCACGGGGCTGTTCAGGGGATTTGACCTGGGATACGAGACATGTTAATGGACACTTTGGTTCAAATCCATCCCAGGACCTCAGCTACTGCGAATACGACCATACAGCATTCTTCAGCAGCAAAATAAGGACAGATTATTATTAATCAACCAAATCGATCACTATGATAGTCTAAGGCAGTGATTTTCAAATTCTCAAACAGGATGCTGTGGTTAGGTAGACAAACACGATTAAATCCAGAGATTTCAAATAGGAATCCATAATGTCTAAAACATGCTGACCTGATGCAGGCTTTTTGAGTTCATTGTAAAAGAACTGCTCTATTATTTTTTTTCTCAAAAAAGAAGTGAAAACTAAGAGCTGGCATTATCTGAAGTGTGACTCAAGTCTAAAAAAACCTGAAAACCACAGGTCTAAGATAGAACTACTCACCTATTCTCAGAGGAGACCTTCCAGGAAAAGATTGAAGCCTACTAATGAGGGCTGTAGGGAATTATACACTGCTGCTACCTGTTCTGTGCCTGCTTTGTGGATAATTTTATTCACAGAGCTAGTCAGACATGTTTGACAATAATAAATGTAGTTTTAGAAAACAAAATTATCCAGTCTCAAAAATGATTTTAAAAAGCATGTATGTAGAAAATGAGATGTATTCCGATACGGCTTTTAACAAGACTGCAAAAGAAACTTTTTATTTTATATTGCTAAAAGCTTCACACAGCAGGACCAAAATGCAGACTGGCCAATCACATTAAGAGAGGCTTGTAAAGAAAATTGTGTTGGGGAAGCAGTTTTTAAGCTTAGTATTGTAAATTGGCAAAGCACTCTGCTATCTGGTGAATGGGTTTGTAAAGCAGCTTTACAAGCAATCCTCCCTCAGCACCATTAGCATGGGACCTTGTGCAAGACTAAAGATGAATTTTCAAAATGAGTCTTCCCCATCAAGGAAGCCTTCTAAGATTCATTTCTATTTAATCTGAAACACGCAGCTACCAAATGCTCCCTAAACAAGTTACAGGGTTTTAGCATATAATGAATCATTACTTCTGTTTCAACAAGTATTTTGCTTAACTCTGCTCACACACACCAGAAAATTAATAAGCAGGTTTATAAACTGAGTCTTATTTGGCCCAGCGGGGGGGGGGATCAAAATGAACTACATATATGGTGCACAAAACTGTTCCAGAACCACCTATATAACTGCTTTGTATGCAGGCTATTCCAACAGCAGCTTCCTAGAAGAAACAGAAAAGATAAGCACAAACAGTCTACTCCTTACTTTATCAGTTTAGTAGCAGCTACACTAACCAGATGCCCCATACAGTTATCTGAAAGTTGGTAAAATCAACAGAGAACAAAATGTGTTCTGCCTTTAAAGTCAAGTAGGTCACATTATTCTGGAACAGCATGCTTCTCAAACTGTAAACACTAATTATTTTTGAAGGTACCTCCCCACCACAGCTCCCTGGCTGAACATTGCCAAAATGTGCAAAGCTAGCTTTGCTTGACTCGGAGTGCAAGTAAGTGAGGCCCTGGGCCTCATCCCCAGGGCCCTGGAAATCTCTCTCCTCAACTGCATGTTGTGTACCTTAAAGAAATAAAAAGGAGTCTTCCCGTCAATGATCTCTACTATTTAGAGTTTTTCTCCCCCATCCTCCTCTGAGGATTCCTTTATATATAGAGGACCTTTATTATTACCCATTTCCACAAATCCTACCTCCATCCAACATACACTCAGTCTGCTATAAGAAAGCTTGAACTAGCTCCCTTGGAAGTTGACCAGTTGTGTGAAGCAGAAAGGATTTAACAAAGTGCTTTATATCTCTACTTGCTCAGGATAAATAACTCA